GTCAATTTTTTAAATGCTACTATAGATTGTGGTATTTCAAAAGTTTATATTGTATAGTCATTTTTTTCTAAGACATAACTATTGAGTTTGTATATTTGCTGTTGTGTATCTAACAACTTGTTAAATTCATTTAATTCTATGATTTTTGTCTTTAGATCCTTTTGGATTTTCTACATACTCAGTCGTGTCATCTGTGAAGAATGACAGTTTCATTCTAATCATTATTTCTTTTTTTTTTAATTGGGAAAGGAAGGGAGCATTTATTAAAATGGCTAGACCCTTGAATATAATGTTAAATAGAAATTATGATAGTAGGTATCTTTTTTCTTGTTGATGATCTCAGAGCCAAAGGTCTCATCATTTTACTAAGTATGTTTGCTATATTTTTTGATGACTTCTATTACATAAAAGAACTTCCCTTCCGTTCCTAGTTTACTAAAAGTTTTTGTTACGAATATGCATTGAGTTTTCTACATCTATTGAGATGATTATAGGATATTTATTCTTTATTCTATTAATGTGGTGAATTACATTGATTCATTTTCTAATGTTGAAGCCAGTCTTAGATTCTCAGTCATGATATTTAGCCTGATTTGATAAGCTAATATTTTATTTGTTTTTGCATTTATGTTCATCTTATGATACTTCTCTCAGGGTTTGTTATTAAAGATATGCTAGCCTCATAAAAAGAGTTGAAATGAGGGGTGGGGGAGGTTTTCTTTCTTTTAGTTTTTGGAAAAATTCACTGATGAAACCATCCAGACCAGGCTTTTTATTTGTGGGAAGATTTTAATTATAGATCCAATTTCTCAAAAAGAGAGGATCCTTTTGGTATTCTATTTCTTCTTGTATCAGTTTTGATATATTACATTTTTCCTGGAGTTTATTGCTTTTTTTTTTTAAAGATTTTTTATTTATTTATTTGACAGACAGAGATCTCAAGTAGGCAGAGAGGCAGGCAGAGAGAAAGGAGGAAGCAGGCTCCCCGCTGAGGAGATAGCTCCACACAGGGCGCATCCCAGGACCCTGGGATCATGACCTGAGCCAAAGACAGAGGCTTTAACCCACTGAGCCGCCCAGGCGCCCCATTTCCTGGAGTTTATTTCATTTAAATTTCAAATGCTTTGGTATGAATTTGATCAATTTTTTCAGAGAACTAAACTTTAACTCTGTTAATTCTCTTGAATGCTAATTTCTATTACATTTTCCTTGATGCATGGGTTATTTACAAATACAGTAATTAATTTCCAAGCATTAGGATCCCCTATGTGTGTTTATTATTGTTGTCCACCTTAATTCTACTGAAGTCAATTAGCATATTTCATATAGTACTTCTCAAACTGTGATAGAGGACTTGTTCCTTTTTCCCAATTTATGTTGGACTAGCAACTTTTAAAAAATACAATAAAAATGAATTTATTAGAAAATCAAAATAAAAAGATATATAAGAGCAAAGCCCCAGGTTTATTTTTTTATTATTAGGTTCTATAGAGACGCACTACTATATCAAATGGCTATATTTTCTAAACACTTATTCTCAATATCTAAACCTATCTAGTTGTGGTCCATTAACACCTGTGAACCAGCACTAGTCCATGGGAAACACTTCCATGTTGCACTGCTTGTTGTGATTTTAGTCTTCAGAGTTTGTTGAGACTTGCTCTATAACCTTCCACATTTTCAGCTTCAGTAAATGTTCCTCATGCAGTTTAAAAGAAGGCATATTCTATACTTGCAGAGTGGAGTGTTTTATGTATGTTACTTAGATTGTTTCTTTATCATGTTTTTTAACTTAACTATATTGAGACATAATTTACATGCAATAAAATATATCTATTTAAATGCACTGTTTGATGGATTTTTGACAAATGTAGACACCCAAGTAACCACTAACACAATTAATAGAGAACATTTTAAAAACTCACTGCCAGTCCCTAACCCCAACTCAGGCAATCATCACCATTCTATGTTTTGCAGCTATGGGTTTGATTAGATAGATTTGTGGGGGTTTTTTCTGTTTTTGTTGTTGTTGTTGTTGTTGTTGTTTTAATGGGGAAAGAGGCCCAGAAGGAGAGGGAGAGACAGAACCTAGTACAGAGGCCGATGTGGGTCTTGATCTCACATTCCTGAGATCACGACCCGAGCTGAAATCAAGAGTCAGATGCTTAACTGACTGAGCCACCTAGACACCCCTAGAGATGTCTTTTCTAACATTTCATATAAGCGTAATTATATAGTATGTGCTATTTTGTGTCTGATTTCTGTGAAGGATATAAATAGTGCAGAATTTGGGCTCATTACAATGCATTTTCCTTATCTCTAAGATCTTGACCCTCAAGACCTGGCTGACTTGGTAGAACTCCAGTGCTTTCCTACTAATATGTTTTTTTCAGCTCTTGTAGTTGGAGTCAGTGGGATGGTTGGTCTAAAACAATAGTTCATGGTAGCCAAAGGCAGAAGAGCTCTGGCAGTATTTAGTGAAGGTACAGTGGTATAGACATCAGGTGTGAGGGTGAGTGTTCTAACTAAATGGAATTCAGATGACTCTCCCAAGAAATCTGAGCAGGTTTGAAAGATCCAAAAGTAGATTGTGTCCATTAAATATAGGCTATATATCATTATATCAGTCAAGATTCAGTGCCAGAAACTGGATGTTCTAAACAGGAGAGCGTTAAATACAATGAGTTAGTGTTTACAGATTGTTGGAAGGTTTGAAGGAGTGAATTCTAGACTTGGCCTACAAAAATGACTCCCAAAATAGTGCTAGAGCTGCTCTGTCAGGGAAACTGCTATGTTGTGGACTGCCACTAGCACTGCACAAGAAGCACAGTTGCTGCCACTACCATACCACGATCTCACTGATAGCAGCAAGAACAAAGAGGACCAGCAAGAAAGCCTTGCTATCCCTTGAGCCTTCCAGATCTTGCAAGATTGCCCTTCACTGAGAGATCCGAATTAGAATCACACACTACTTGTAAAGAATATAGGAGTTGTAGTTTTCCAAGTTTTAGGAAGACAGAATGAGGGTAGAATGAGAGCTGACCAAAGTTTCTACCATGCACATAAATTGAAAGTGCATTGTGCCTCTGACTTAAAGAGGGTGAGTGGTAATTCAACCATATTCTAAATTGTTGGTTCTTTTTCTGTAACTCTGCCATCAGTAAATGTAGTGTTTAATGCAACTTTTTTTTAAAGATTTTATTTATTTATTTGACAGAGATCAAAAGTAGGCAGAGAGGCAGGCAGAGCGAGAGAGAGGAGGAAGCAGGATCCCTGCTGAGCAGAGATCCCGATGTGGGGCTCGATCCCAGGACCCTGAGATCATGACCTGAGCTGAAGGCAGAGGCTTTAACCCACTGAGCCACCCAGGCACCCCTTTAATGCATCTTTTAATTTAAGTGTCTCTGTTTTTTTCTAGCTGCTAAATGAGCATATTATGGTCTATGATTTAAATATCCAGAGTACATATCAATCAATTACAGGTCATATTTGAGTTCAATTAATATTTAAATATTTGTTGAAGACATACAAAATGCCTGGCATCACCTTGGAAACACTAAACATTCAAACATCTTACCAAGATTGACATTACCTAATTCAAGATTATTTCAAAGGTAATCATGAAATCAATTCATTTCATAACCAAGTGCATATGGAAACTTTCATCAACTTCATTTGTAATTCTTGCTATATATTCAAAGACACTCCATAATATATCCCATAAGTGTTCATAGCAATTCAGATCTTGATATGGAAATGTCAGTAGGATCCTCAAGGGCAAAAAGCTAAATATAGCTTCCTCTAGCGTTGCGCTTTCTACTACAGCACCGTATTTGTTGATCTGTTTTCCCTGCTTTCTTCTTCCTGTATAAGTTGGTGGTATGATACTAATAAAAGGCTTGGTTATGGTCTGGACAGTTTATACACCAGTGCTGTCTAGATGTGTTTTGGTTTGTTGTAAGATACTGAGGTTTTCTGAGGTTTTCACAAGCCATAGATGGTTTGTACTCAGGGGAAGAATGAAAAAATAAAAACAAACACAAAGAGACTGGTGAACCGTAGTATGATTGTTAGCTCAAGCATTAAGCAGTGAAAATATTCAGGACTAGAAGTTAGAAGGCATATAATGCTTAAATAGCTTTAATGTGACTTTTTTGGGCTAGTATTTTTGTATGTCAGATTCTGTTTATGATTCATAATGATTCTGAATTTGAAATTCAGCTCAGTTTCCTTCCATCTTGCTGTTTGCATTAGAAAGAATTCATTACAAAGAATTCTAAAAAAAGAACTGATGTAATTTTATTTTAGGGCACAGTGAATCTAAGACTACTCCATAAGTATTCTAATTAGGATCATTTCGGAGAATAGGGAGCATTTCCTTTAACATTATTTTTATTATCTTCATTTATTAGTTCATTCACCTGTATTAATAAGTATGATTTTTAGAACTGGGTAAGTTGCATTTTCTAATACTTTGTGTGTGTGTGTGGAAATGTAAGGCTTGATATGACTCTGAAAGTTCCCTTGAATTGCTTTACCTCCTTCAGAAAGATACCCTCCTTCATAGTTGAATATTCTTCCCTTTACAGAAAAAAGTTTTGGAGTGAGACCATTATTTTATATACCTAAACATCCACTTAATCTCTGATCAAGTATTTGAATGGCAACATCTGACCAGTGAAATATTTGAAATATTTCATTGAAATATTTGAGTGAAATATTTGAGTGTTTTTCAAATTAATTCCTGATCATAGCTTTCTTTCACTATTTTTTCCAGAGGCTATCTTTGATTGTTGGGTATCTGTAGTGCTTCGCTAAACAAATTTAATTTATGCTATTGTGATTTCTACTTAGCTTATAAAATAATTTTGTCAAGAAGATGAATATGTGGGAAAGTATCAGAGAATTCTAATTAAGAGTGTTTTTCTTTATTTGAGACTTTAGAAAATATCAATAATGAAGTATGTTTTAATCCATTTATTTTTTCTTTTTCCTTTCAGGTGGATCTCCTTACTTAGCAACCAAAATAAATGAAGCAAAAGACTTATTAGAAGCAACCACCAAACATTGATCAATACTTAAGAATCATTCTGAAGGAAAAGAAAGGAGAATATAAAACAAAAAAGTCTTGCAAATTAATCTAAACCACGTTGTTCATAATTTTCATACCTGTACTGACCACAATCATTTGTTCCACTATTAAGGTATATAATAATAAAAGATTAACAATCTATCTTTTATTATCTTTCTTTTTAAAGATTTTATTTATTTGAGAGAGAGCACAAGCAGGGGGAACAGCAGTGGGAGAGGGAGAAGTAGGCTCCCTGCTGAGCAGGAAGCCTGATGTGGGGCTTGATCCTAGGATGCTGAAATCGTGACCTGAGCTGAAGGCAGACGTTTAACTTATTGAGTCACCCAGATGCCCCTATCTTTTTATTATCTTTTAAAGGAACACCTTAAAATTCAATGACTGATCTTCTTTCCCTTCCTTTCTCTGTGATAGTCATACATTTGAAGTTTTTTGTTCTTTTAGTCCTGAGTTCTCTTGGCTCCCCACCCTCACTCAGTTATCATCATCAGTAATGTGGGAATTATGAACAATAAGTAGAAATTTTCTTACTGCTGATACTGATATTCACAATATCCCTTGTTTCCTTAGAGGACTTTACTGCTCTGCCTATGTAAGGGTTTGAGATCAAACGCTGACTGTCATCCCATGAGAAAATGATTGGAAACTCAATCAAATTTACTAAATGGTGTTTTGTAAAATAGTGGTTAGGACTTGTTAAAGAACTGTGTTCTCTCTGAGACCTTATAACTGAAGCATGGGAACTTGGAGAGCTACTAAAATGATTAAAGATTTGCAAAATGAGCCCAGTGAGGAAAAGTTGAAAAAGTGGTAGGAGAAGTCTGAGGAATTTGTCTTTAATCACAGCCTTCCAGTACTGTATATTTATTCAATTATTCATTCTGCAAGTATTTATTGACCACCTATAATGTGTAAGGCTCTCTAGTGGGTCCTCTGAGAGTTATAGTTGTGAACCAACCATGGATCATGACCTCAAAGAAGTTACATTTAGAGAAAAGATAAATCACACTATTAGAGAAGTACAGGTGATATGCTAATGAAGTACAAAGAAGAAAATAATATTTTAAACTGAGAACATAAAGGAGGAGCTTCATAAAATAAGTGGCATGAAAGCTGGGCTTGAGATACAATTAATAAGAGATAAACCATATGATTGGTAAGTCAGTGTTGTTTCCCCTGAGATGACTCACAATTAGCAGAAATAGGATTTATTAGTGTGATTAGAATACAGGGTTTCTCAGAAGCAATGGGCAGACACATAATCTTGAAGGACCAGCCCTTTAATTTATACTGCTAATTATTATCTGTAAATATTATTATTTACACTGCATGAAATTATTATCTCCAATAACTCTCAGTCATCATCACTTTACTGGCCCAAAGGTGAGAAAACAGATTCAGATACAGAGTAACAACATCATTTTCTTATCTTTCCTTTTTTAATTTTTTTTAAAGATATTTATTTATTTGACAGATAGATCACAAGTAGGCAGAGGGGCAGGCAGAGAGAGAGAGGAGGAAGCAGGCTTCCCACTGAGCAGAGAGCCCGATGCAGGGCTCCATCCCAGGACCCTGGGATCATGACCTGAGCCGAAGGCAGAGGCTTTAACCCACTGAGCCACCCAGGTGCCCCTCTTTCCTTTTTTTAAAAACATTTTAGTTATTGATTTGACAGAGACAGACACAGCAAGAGAGGGAACACAAGCAGGGGGAGTGGGAGAGGGAGAAGCAGGGCTCCTTCCAAGCACAGAGCCCAATGTGGGGCTCGATCCCAGGACTCTGGGATCAGGACCTGAGCCGAAGGCAGATGAGTAACGACTGAGACACCCAGGTGTCCCAGCAGCATCATTTTCCAGTACTCCTTTATAAATCCTCGGTCATCCCAGGTAAACTGACCACTATATTTCAACTATCTTAAAATTACTTTTTAAATACTGTGGAGGAGCTTCTTCATGTTGCTGGCAAGTGAGTATCGGCTTTGGCTGGGAGGTTGACCGGGGCCATCAGCCAGGAGGAGCCTCAGTTGCTCTCCACGTAGCTTCTCCCCAGGGCTGTGGAGAGAAGCATCATCACACTACAGCGGCTGTGTAATGAGAGAAGGTGAAGAGACAGCAGGCGGAAGCTGCAAACTCAAGCTGGCTCCGGTAGTGGTTCCCATAGGCACCGATCCTGCCTAGACTCAAAGACAGAGGGTACAGGGGATTGTGGAAGAACTAGTGGCCGTTTTTAACATGTAGCAGGGCAGGGTTTAGATTTTTTTTTCCCCCGCTTACTCAAATCAGTTAAGGCATTGCTTTAAAAATTTTGTCAGGAGCATAGAATTCAAGTAAACTAGAGTAGTTTCAGATGACACAAGTACTACTCTAGGTAGATATTAATTCAGTAGTCATTCTGTAAATGGCGTTATACTTATGCAATTGGGTTTTAAAAGCTGCCCACCCTCAACTCCTTAGTATCTGTAAAAAGCTTATTTGAATGGTTACCTATCCTCAGTAAAGATGGCTTTTACATATTTGCTGTCATTGCATATTCTTTTTTTTTTTTTAAAGATTTTATTTATTTATTTATTTGTCAGAGACAGAGGGAGAGAGAGAGCGAGCACAGGCAGACAGAGGCAGAGGGAGAAGCAGGCTCCCTGCCGAGCAAGGAGCCCGATGTGGGACTCGATCCCAGGACGCTGGGATCATGACCTGAGCCGAAGGCAGCCGCTTAACCAACTGAGCCACCCAGGCGTCCCTGCATATTCTTCTTAATTAAGTTCTTTGTTGATATTGCAGTTTCTGTTGATTCTTACAACTTAGATGCAATCTGAGAAAGCAGAAAAGACCTTTTAAAAATAAAACAGTTACTTCCCAGATCCAGAGAAAGTGTAAGTCAAATGGACAGTTAATTAAAGGGAGCACAGGATGCCATTTAGACCGTAGTTGGTGGCGCTAATCTCCAGCATAAAGTCAAAAGTGGAGAGTTGGTCAGTAAGGGAAAAACTATGGTGATTGCAGAAGACATTGTTTTATTTAGTCTTCAGACCATTCCCTTTATTTGGTTTGAAATGCATTTTAGTGATTCAGTTAATATTAAATACTATGTCAGGCGTAAAGATATAAAAAAAGTACATTCTTAAAATGCATAATATGCTCAAAATAAATAGAAAAAAACAGATTCTTACTTTTTTCCCCCTGATACTACTGAATTAAGAAATTCTGAATTTTATTACTGGGCACACTTGTGATTACCCAGCATGGTCATTAGACATAACGTATTTTATCCAAGGACAGAAATCCTTTGGTTGTCATGGAGAATCTTGAATACAAAAAAAAGCCTTTAGTGACATATCTTTAACACGTTTGGCAATTAGCTTAAGGTAGTTTACTGACATTTGTGGGAAAAGATGAATCAAAAATACTGAAGTTTCTCTGACTCAATTCACTGAAGATGAGCTGTAGAGGCTGCAGTGCAAGGTTAAATATCTAGGTAGGCCAGCTTATTTTGCACATTGGGAACCATACCATCCACAGGCACTCAGCTCCTCGCCCACAGTCACCTCCTTAAAGGCCTCTGGCTCCAACGAGGATTTGATGGCAATGTCAGCAGTGTGCCTCCCTCCTATCAGAAGGGCAACCCAAAGAGCATATCCCATTAACACTACATCAGTATCATCTACTTGTCAAAAGCATTCCATGAATTATGGGCCGAATTTTATTTATGGTAGAGTTAGACACATTAGAAAATTAGAATTTTAATTTATTAGCTGGAAAAGTTGAGAAGTTCTCTGGACTCATTTTTTTTAGGTAGAATCTAAGTGATCTGGATCATTGCCCACCAGTGAAATTGCTGGGCATGGTAGACAAAGAAAATGTTCCTTCTAATGATTTTTATGAGCTGAGTAGCTATTGTTCCCAGTTGAGTGCTCTTTTCCTTTTTTTATTGTTGCTGAGCAAAAATTTATAAAAAGCTTTTTTTTTTTTATTAAAAACCCTGCTCAATTGAAATGCAAGTTCATTAAGTGCTATTCATTTCTCTTCCTGCCATAATAACCCTTTCCCCCTCTGCTCAATTCAGGAGTGCCTAGCAGCCCTGGTCAACATTTTAAGTCTGAACAGACTATAATATAGATGGAGATATGCAATCTCTAACATCAAGAGAGAGTTTTATTTCACGTGGGCAGAATACGATCACTCAGGCTAGATGTTAGCTATAAATTTCACATAAGTACCTCAACTTAGAGGGGCAAGATGCCCCTCGGAAAGTAAAATCAACAGTGGGAAATTTAATTCAGTTTTGACAAGATGAAAATCACATTGAAAATACTAGTTCAATATTGACATCTAAGCTGTAGTGCTAAAGACTAAGAAATTAGAATCAGCTCGTTACCGTAAGTCCAAGAGATTTTATTAATACTAGCTAATAGTTGTTGAGCACGTTGTGCCAAGCATCCTGCCTACATTATCTCTTTTAATTTTCACAGTACCCCTAAGAAATAGGTACTATTTATATCCCTATTTTACAGATAAAGAAAGAAAGGTAAGGTCAGAGGAGTTTAGGAACTTTACCAAAATTATGTAATTAATAAGCAGTGGGACTAGGATCCAAATCCAGTTTGGCTTGACTCTGAAGCACATATTCTTTACCTTCCCATTATATTGCACTGATTCTAGACATGTGGGAATCATTGTAAAATGAAGGGGCTCGCATGGCCCTGTACTCATTCATCGATAACCCTGAATGTCAGGTGATAGTTTGTAAAATGTTTATGGAAGGGTCATGTCATTTGGCACTATGAATGAGGACTGCCTAATGTCTTGATTTCTGCCCTGGAAACTTGTGATGCCCGTCTAGCTGCACATAGTGAAAGTTCACTTGTAGAGTTTAGCAGCTGGGTTTCTCTGACTTGAGTGGGGGGTCGATGAAACTTAGAAGAGATTTTATGTGAAACTTTCATGGGCCAAAGCTTCCTAGGGAAACATCTAGAGCAAAGTTCAGAAGACGGCTTGTGAAACTGAAGCAGCAGGCATTGGGAGAGAAATGAAGAAATTGCTCAATATAATAAAGATGAGAATAAGAAGGCTGAACTTATTGAAAGGAACGGGGGTAGTGAAAAAATTAAGGTTAACGAGAGAGACAACTGAACCAAGAAGAGATCACTTACAGCATTTGAAAGAGAATTGCCAGAGCTCAGTAGATTTCTTGAAAACTTTGCAATATTCCCAATTGTAGACTGGCTTATTTGTTCATGCCATGCTTTTATACAAATTCCAGAATTACATTTTGCACAGTTAAAGGCTTGTCTAGTAGAACCCATAGTTCTTAAGTCGCCGATCTAAGAATGTGTCTTAAGATTACCACTTAATTTTCTGTGTTCTCAGCTGCTCTACTCAAATGGTGAAAAGGTTTCTAACTTCCAGAGATTTATAACTCTGCATAACTCTAATATTGATAGTGGATTTGTGAGTTCTTTGAATGTCAGATACCCCTATATTCACGAATAAGTTCATTCCAAAGCCAACTGCCTGGTCTTTCCATCTATCTGCTCTTAGATTCCCATGCCCTTTGCTCTTTCCTTCTGTAAATGTGGACCATCAAGATTTCATTTTCGAAGTATTTACATCTTGGCTTCTATGCCTCTGGAGTGGGACGAAATTATCTAATAATGTTTGTCCTGTGGTGGTGGGAAGTCAGACGACATCTGTATTGTTTGCATCTCTTAGGCTGTCCTGGAATGTTGTAGTGCAGTGTGGCAGAGAGAGCAGCATGTACAGAAATGCAGCCCTCCCTAAATCAGCCCCACTCAGATCTGATGGTATGCTTTGTTCCTCAGCTTCTGGGTACTTAAGTATTCAGTCTTTTACTTAAATATTCTACTCTTTTACACTCTTACACTATATACTCGTTTGGGCTTTTTTCCCCTTGCAAACATTTTTTTTAGCCCAATATGTAAAAATTATATACATACTTACATATATACATATATACTACTCTGTTTGTTTTGCTTTAAAATTGTAAAGGATAAACTAAGATACTTCTATCTGTCTCGTTTTCCAACACAGTTAAAATTAAATCTGACTTGCTAAAATTGAATTTACACTAAATTTTTTCTGTCCTACAACTCTTGAAGAAAATACACTAATCGTATGTGTTGTGTAACTTCGTTTACACCGTGATCGCTCTTGCAGGCCCTGCTTTTATTTCTTTTATACCTCTGTTTCAGGAGATGCTGGGCCCGGCTGCCTCTCAGGACACACTATTGATTGGTTCACTTCTAAAGGCTACTATCAGAAACTGAAACTGTAGACGCATGGATTTTCTTAGAAGCCCTTGGTGAAACTTGAGTTTTTACCCTTCATACCAAAATAAGCAAGGGGAAAAAATAGAAATCAGCCCAATGATACTTTAAAATTGATTTGTGTATTTATCTTGTAACACAGATACCAAAGAAAGTACCTATTTCCTTGGTTTATTTCTTTCTTGCCTCAGGTGTATCCCTAGCAGCTTTTGGCCTGCAGCTGCATAAAGAACTCTAAACAGAGGCATTGGTATTCAAAATGCTGATGCAACCAGACTGTTACCCTGGGTATTACCGAAAATGTCTGCACAAATGCCTGGATTCCATACTTAGTGTAAATGACGGATAGGCTACTGTTCTGTCTCCAACTTCTCACCGAGGGGAGTACAGATAGGCGTGCCCTATGTTTCTCCTCTCTCGCCCTTCATCATCTGGCCAGCCCCACACAGTGGTCACTTCGTAATTCTCTCCCAAGGCCAGTTGGACAGTGCACGCCACAGTCACCTGGCCTGGGAGGGCCTTGTGTTGTCATGAGACACCATCCTATGATGTGTTTGCAGACAGGAAGGGGAAAGAGGACTGACAGTATTGGGATAACATAACATGAAGGGTGTGTCTATCATAAAATACGAGCTTGAGTTTTGTTTTGTCAGGAGAGGAATATGTTTTCCACAGCAGTCTGGTGAATTAAGAACAATATACTGAGTCCTACAGGGAACGTGTTCTATTTGACTCTGTTGATAGGATTTATGTATGGAACATCAATTTTCTGTACAGACATAATTGAGTACATATTACCATGATATGAAAAACTGGAAGCATACATATGGTTGTGTAGGCTGTTAAATTTTAAGAAATGTAACAAAGAGGAAAATTAAACTGAAAACAACGCAGCTGATGAAATTATTAACTTGAAGTTTTTGCTCAAGATATATGTAAAGTAGACACATTCTATGTAGAAATACAAAGGTAAATTATCTTAATGTGTTACCTTCTTCCTTTTCGGATTGAATTTTTTAACAGCAAGAATGCCTAACGGGTAGTTCCTGGGGTCTCATGGATGGCTTGGTGACAGCAGGTTCAACAACAGCTTCAGCCCTCAGGGCTCCAAGTAGAGTATCTGGTGTCAGGAGGTCCGAGGGCCTTTTGTCCTCATGCATTTTTTTCCGCAAAGCCAGGCTGAAAGTTACTCCTGGGGACAGAAAAGGAACTTGGCTGACCAATCTGTCACCAGCCTGAAAGAAATGTATAGGAGTCCTACACGCGTAGGAAGTGGATATCAGCCGGAAGCCAGGCGGTCTTTGCTCAGAGCCTCCTTCATGGCCCATGGTGGAATTACCATGGCATAATGTGACTGTCGGGGACAATTTGATCAACCGAAAGAGGTTTGAAGATTTTTAGTGCTGGTGTTACAACAAAGGTTCCAATGTTCTGATCCAGTGAAGAAATGCATAGCAGCTGACTGCTTATCTTTAGGTTTTGTGTCCCCTTCCAAGCCCCAACAGCAAGCACTTCTGTTCATAAGGCGGCCTAGCCTGAGGCCAAGATTTTGGTGTTTGCTCTCTGGGAGTTAGCAGTCCGCCATATGGCAGCCGGAGTTTTTCTCTGTCCTAATAAGCCCATCTGCCTTTGTCCTCTTCTACTGTTGGCCTCTTTTTCACTTTCACACCAGCCACAACTTCATCAGGCTGGGAGACTCCCCAGCGTCAGGGCGCTGGGGCATGTTTCCTGCTTTGCCATCCGTGAGCTCTGGGCCCACAGCCCAGCACCCCAACCCACCTCACCGTGTTTGCTCCCGGGAATACCATCCACCTACCTGCCCATAGAGTGAGACAGTGAGACTAATGAGAAAGGAGTGGAAAATAATGAAATAATGAGAACCACACGGAATGTTCTGGACACCTTCAAGAGAGGTTCAAGGCATTAATATCTTTGCAAGGAAGGGCAACACTGATTTTTTTCATCTGAGAACCATTCTGCATGTGTACAGAGTTGGAATGTTGAAACTTCCTCTTGTAGGGGCAGTTGGTTTAGCATCTGCCTTCAGCTCTGGTCATGAGCCCAGGGTCCTGGGATTGAGCCCTGCATTGGGTTCCCTGCTCAGTGGAGAACTGCTTCTCCCTCTCCCTCTGCCTGATGCTCCCCTATTTGTGCTCTCTGTCTGTCAAATAAATAAATAAAATCTTTAAAAAAGAAAGGAAGGGAGGGAGGAAGGAAAGAAAGAAGGAAACTTTCTCTCGTAAATGGGTCAAATGCCTCACCCACAGCCTAATAGCACAGACTTTGAAGTCAGTATTTCTTATTTCCAGTTCCACATATGAATATCTGCTCCATTTTGTCAGTGGCTGGGAGATAATACTGCATTCTTTTCAGTTTTCTACCTGGAGCTCAGTGTATGTTAGCCAGTGTCAAGCACATACTCCATCATGCCAAGAATGCTTAGTACAGGCTCTGTGCTGCAACCTTAGCACACGGATGGATTTGAAATTTTCCTTTGCAACCCAGCCAATCAGGTGTCCGACTATACCTTGAAGCCAATTAGTATTTTTCACAGAGCCAGGTGCAAAGCTGCCAGGTAACATCTGTAAGTGACTTGGATTGCTCTAATGGGATCTGCATATGTTCAGCCCTATATGAAGATATTTTTCACTTGACACAGAGTCATCTTTGGTCTTGTTCTCCACCCACTCCATTAAGCAGACACACCTACACATGTTACCGATTTGATTTGCTTTTCCGAGGAGGATGGTGCCTAGATTTTCTCTTCCTGATGCTACTATTTGTGCAGATGCCTCTTGGAAAACTACCCATTCCAAGTGCTTACAGAGGGGAGGGGACAACAAATCTTATGTTATTATCAAGGCATTTTTCTCATAATCCTGCATGTCTAATCTAAATTATCCAGTAATGATTTATTTGAGTATCTTGTGTTTTCTTTTTTTAACAATAAGTTTAAAGATAGCACTATTCCTCAAAGGGACAACACACCTGAGTTCCTGTAACTTTCGGGACTGGACACTTGGGTTCTAATCCCCTAGCTCTGCAGCTCATAAGCTGTGTGACTCTGGGCAGGATGCAGCCTTTTCTGAGCCACTTGAATTAGCTGTTTTCTAAGAGTCACGCAGTCTGTTGAAGAAGCACTTGTTCCCAAGTCACACAGACCTAAGTGTCAGTGTCTGAACCACCTTCAATTAGAGTGGTCTTGTGGAAGTTTTGTAGCCTCTCTGGGCTTCCTGACCCATAAAATGGGTATAATGATATGTACCTCAGAGGGTGATTTCAGGAGTTTAATAATTTCATAGACAAAGATGTGCCTGTTTACCAATGCCTGTACATGGTAGCTTCTCCACAAATGTTCGTTTTTACTGCTTATCAATTTGGCTTTACTTTTTTTTTTCTCTCAAGTACTGCACAAATATAACAGCAATTAAAGGATTTTTAAAAGAATGAATAACAAATTACCAATAATTCCAATATCCTAACATCAACCATTTTCTTTTTTTCTGGGGCCTGCCCCTTCCTGTGCCTCTTAATATAGATCTTGGGAATTTATCTTCCAGAAAATGCCTATGGACAAATACACAGATCTCTAGATTGGAAATCAAGCTATAATATTTTACAATATTATCTCAAATTAAATGCTTTTACTAGAATGAATACTTTTATCAATGCCAGTGACTAAATAAGAATATTTGCTCTTATTTATTTAACAGCTGAAAAATTGATCCAGGGTGCCTGGGTGGCTCAGTGGGTTAAGCCTCTGCCTTCGGCCCAGGTCATGATCTCAGGGTCCTGGCTTCGAGTCCCACATCGGGCTCTCTGCTCGGCAGGGAGCCTGCTTCCTCCTCTTTCTCTCTGCCTGCCTCTCTGCCTACTTTTGATCTCTCTCTGTCAAATAAATAAATTAAAATCTTAAAAAAAAATATATATATATATATAAATTTAAAAAAAAAGAAAAATTGATCCAAGAGGATCTAGAGAAAGAACAGTCCTTTGGCCAGCTTTACGGCAAAGCAAGGTATGGCAACGGACAATTATTGGGTGCCTCATGTTTGTGCCAGACATTCTTTATATACATGATGTCTTTACTCCCCAAAACAACCCAGTTAGCTAGGTATTTTTATGCCCATTTCATCCACAAAACGGGAGTTTCAAGAGCTTAAGCACCTTGCTCAGAATCCCAATTAGGAAGGTGTAGAGTTGGATCTGCTCCCAGGTTGACTAACCCCAAAGTCTGTTCTCTTTCCCTTTTTCTGCTGCCTCCCAGGGACTGTTCTCAGCCAAGTACAAAACTCCTTGCCCTTAAGATTTTTAGCCTAAGTTACTAAAAACTTCACTCCTGGCTTAGAGTGGATGCTGGGGATTTTATTAAGTCTCCTCGGTGTGGTCATTCATTCCAACATGATCTCAGTCCAAGGACCTCCCTACCTCTGAAGACATTTGTCACTTGTCATGTTGCATTCAGGATGCCAGAGGAGGCATCCAGCAAAACGAACGGAGGCCCTTTTGTGACAAATAGATTTACAAAGCCGGAATTGGAGCTGGAAAAGACCTTACAGATCTGCAGGCCTCCTTCAGGCGCTGTCTGATGGATTTCCAGATGCATGGCATTTTCTAAGCATTTGATCACAGCAAAGAGGATAAACACTGCGAGTTAAAAGGGATAGCATCAGGCCTGGGGGCAAAAGAGAATGTTACCTCTTTCATGTCCCCTCCATTGGGAACCTGCAGGCTTCCAAGAACTCAGGCTTTAGAGGTGGACTGATGTGGGTTTAAATTCTGGCTCATACACTTGTGGCTTTAGACAAGTTACTTAACTACTACTTTTTTTTTTTTTTTTAAGATGTGAGTCTATATTTATTTTTAAGGAATTATTTCTTTTTAAAATAAAAATGGGGCACAAATTACTGCTTTGCTAGATATAGTAACCATTATATCACTCTTGTTTTATCAACTGGTTCTTATTTAACTATTTTAAAAAAATTTAATTCCCGTATAGTTAACATACAGTGCTATATTAGTTTCAGGTGTACAATATATAGTGATTCAACAATTCTATACATTACTCAGTGCTCATGATGATAAGAAGTTACTTAACTTCTATGAACCCTCAGTTTTCTTCTTTGAAAAATGGGGATCATGTCACTACTTCATAGAATTGCTGTGAGGATGAAATAAAGTGATGTGAGTCAAATACCGGACATACTGTCCAGTGCATAGCCAACAGTCCCTCACTGTGCACATGACCGATTTCCTTTCACAAAGCCAGGGCTTCTCTACTTTGACTATTCCTTGAGATCACCTGTCTAGCTTTTACAACTCTTAATGTCCTGGCAGTGCCCCAGAATCTCAGAGTTTCTTGGGCGGGAGCCAGGCCACGGTTTTTTCCAAAACCCTTCCGTATGTCCATGTCCAGCCAAGGTTGGGCATCCTGGGACTGGGTACAGTGTGAGTGACCCAGCAGGTGCACAGGGCTGAGCCTGTTTGTACGGACTCTGCAGGAGCACAGTGGACCAGGCATCAGGGACTGAGGGTCACAGGGTCATGAAAGTCATGTTGGGACTCTCAGCTCTCCCTCAGAGCTGTGGGCAGAGCTGTCCCCAGGGCCCAGCTGAAGTTAATCACCCTGGGACCACTCCTTCCCCACCCCCCCCCGGCAGAATTTTTAATCCAAGTGAAACCAGCTTAAAATGGAATTTGAGGACATCTTGGGAAAGAACCAAGGCCAAAACAGATCGCTTAAGGGGAGATGGCATGTAAAGGAGGAGAAGAGGCAACAGAAGGAGATAGTGAGAGCAAGCCTGTACTCGCAGGTCCTGACCATGAAGGCGCTCTGACTTTCAGTGTAAGGTGCCCAGAGTTACCCTCTCCTTGTCTCTCCAGAGTCAAAGACCAATGGACTCATTACTTTGAATGAGGTCTCCCCATATCATTGTTGGGAAGCGCAGTGTGGTTAGTCCTGGGACCAGCAGTATCACTGGGGAGCCAGTGAGAAATGCAGAATCTCTAACCCTCACCCCTCGGCCAACCTGAACCAGAGTCCTTAGGGGTGGGGCCTTGAACTGTGCAATTAATGAGGTTCCCAGGTGAGTCTGATGCTCATTAAAGATTGAGAAGCACAACTAGAGTGAAAACAGAACAAGTTTTAGAGGTGAGCAGTGCTTCTAAGTTTGAACCCTGGCTCTTTCACTTACTCTGTGATCTTCTCTGAGGTCTGGTTTCCTCTTCTGAAAACTGGGGATACAAACATTTACCTTAATAACAGACTGCCAAGGGGATTGTGGATGGAATCCGGGGGAGGGGGGGTCTAAGGACAGGATGGGAAGGAAAACATTTTCATTCTCGACAATCTTTAACTGAAATTTAGCATCCTGTTTAATCACGAATGTCAGCAACAAATTACGACTTTGTCGATAGCGGAAGTCACAGAAGTTTGCATATCACGTTACAGTTGCAGATATCTCTACATATGTTTGTATTCATCTACTTCAAAATTATAGCTTCAGACTTGCTGCTGGATCTCAATATTTAATGTATTAATAATGAGGCACTTACTCCATCATAAATGTTTTAAATCTTTATGAAGATTGTGTTTTAAACTAATTGGTTTTCTTTGTAATTTTATTTATTTATTTATTTATTTATTTATTTAATGTGTGCATTTGAAAACTTTATTCTGAAAAGGGGTTCAGTGCCCCAGGGCACAAAAAAGCTTAAGAAACCCCTCTCCTGCTTGCAAGTTGTAATGATTAAACGAGGGAATCCAGTGTCTCTAACACTTAGCAGAGATGTAAATAACAACACCCTGACTGCTCTCAACAACATCATGGACCATAGGACCAACAACAACCTGGACCATAGGATCCTCCAGTCTTTCCACATGCACTGTGTCTGGTCAACATTCCCTGTAGGCATCTTTCTGGTTAATTCTAGTTTTATGGAATGAAAGTTATTCCTTACTGAGTGTCTGCTCTGTATCAGAGAGGTGAAGTGAGCTCTCTAGCTCACTTGGGAAAGTGAGTGTTGGGAAAGAAGGCATTCAACCTTCACATTGCATTGTATATTCCTATATCTAGATGTAGATATAGATCTGGATAGATCTAGGTATAGATATAGATCTAGGGGACTAGATTAAGGGTTCCTGCATCCTCCTGGTTCAATAAGACTATCATAGAGGTGGTATCATCTGGCTCACTGAACACCTACAATCTCTCAGTTCTTGTACATTCAACAAACATTTATAGAAGAACACTTAGGGAGAAGGTTCCTTGACATTGGTCTTGGCGATGACTTTTTGGATTTGATACCAAAAGCAAAGGCAACAAAAGCAAAAATAAACAAGTGGGACTACATAAACCAAAGAGCTTCTGGACAACAAAGGAAAACATCAACAAAATGAAAAGGCAGCCTACCAAACTGGAGAAAATATTTGCAAGGCATATATCTGATAAGAGGTTAATGTCCCAAGTATATTAAAAAACTTGTATAACTCAATAACAAAAAAAGAAAAAAAAGTGATAAAAAAATGGCAGAGGATCTAAACAGACATTCTTCCAAAAAAGACATACAGCTAGCCAAGAGGTTCATCAAGGAAATGCAAATCACACCACATCAAACCCATAAAAACCACAATGAGCTATCACCTCACACCTGTTACAGTAAGTCTAACCTCAAAAGATAAGAGACAGGAAGTGTTGATGAGGATGTGGAAAAAAGGAAATCCTTGTGCACTGTTGGTGGGAGTGTAAATCAATGCAGCAAGGAAGGAACACAATGTAGAGGCTCATTAAAAAATTGAAAAGAGAACTACCACATAAGCCAGCAATCCCATTTCTGGATATGTATCCAGAGGAAATGAAGTCAGAATATTGAAGAAATATCTGCACCCACATGTTCGTGGCAGCTTTATTCACAATAACCAAGATACGTACAGAAACAACCTTAATGTCTACAACAGATGAATGATTGAGAAGATGTGGTACAGATATATGATGGAATATCATTTAACTACGAGGCAGGAGGAAATCCCGCCATTTGTAACAGCATGGATGGACCTTAAGGCATTATGCTAAGTGAACTAAGTCAGACAAAGACAAATATTGTATGATCTTACACATGTAGAATCTGAAAAAGCCAAATCATTCAAACAAAGAGTAGAATGGTTGCCACAGGCTAGGGCATGGGATAAAGGTGTTGGTCAAAGGGCATTAACTTGGGGCACCTGGGTGGCTCAGTGGGTTAAACCTCTGCCTTCGGCCCAATTCATCATCTGCCTGCCTCTCTGCCTACTTGTGATCTCTCTCTGTGTTAAATAAATAAAGTCTTTAAAAAAAGGGGGGGGCATTAACTTTCAGTAATAAGATGCGTAAGTTCAGGGGATCCAATGCACAGCACAGGTTCATAGTTAACAATACCATATTATACACATCAAAGTTGCTGAGAGAGTAGATCTGAAATGTTCTTACCACACACAAAAAATGGTAATTATATAATGTGATAGAAGTGTTAACTAAAGCCTATTGTAATTATTTTGCAATGATTACGTAAAGAGACCAAATTATCAGCTTGTATATCTTAAATGTGTACAATGCTTTATGTCAATTATATCTCAGTAAAGGTGGAACAAAAATAAAATTTAAAGAAATAACAACAAAAAAATCCTGTTAAGTCCAATTGGCTCTATCCATTTGTGATTATATACCCATGTGCTTTACTTTTTGTTTGGTTCTGTTTTATTACAGGGCTCCTGGCCTGAGGTTCAAGGGTTCTGGGCCTCTGAGAGATTTTTATTTCCATTAAAGATCCTTGGCAGCAATGGTGTATCTTGACTCCTGGAAATTGCGCTGGTTTACTGGACACAGACCATTTAGGGAGCACTGAGAAGTCTGGGGTTAAGGAGAAAGGAAATAATATTTATTGAGTGCTTGGCACTATGCATTTTACATTCATTTTAATCTCTAGTTATTAGCGCACACAAAGGCATTTACAAAAAAGAATTCTGTCCATTTCACAGACAAGAAAACTAACGTCTAGAGAGGGTAAATGACCTTCCTGCATCACCCAGCTAGCAGGAAGGATCAGAGCTGGCATCCAAACTGCAGTGTGTCTGCCTGACGCCCAAGACAGTCGAGGCCAGGCTCTTTAAAACCCAGGTGTACCTTCTCACAGAAGGTGCTTCCTACCACCAATGGGCCCCCGCAGTCACGCCAACCCCTCCGTGAGAGATTACTCTGTACCCTGCTTGAAGCCCACCAGGACCACCAAGTTGTCAAAGAAAGAAGCCCTGGAGTCTCAGCAGACTTTGAAACATTGTCTTGGTGCAGAGCTTGGGCTCACCCCGGTCTCTCTGGGCCTCAGGCATGTTGGGCATCAAGCTCCACTTGACCTTGCTCTGGATCGTGCTCTACTGCATCCCTGCCATCTTGCTCTGCTGATGAGAATGTTACAATGGGCAGAGTTGAGAGCTCTCCTGCAGCCCTGGGAGATTGCATCTACTTCTGCTTCCTTATCTGTGTGTTCTTTCATTCTATCAGACAAGGAAATTAAATAGGTCTGGCACCATTTGCTCTCCAGAAAGCTACTTTGGCTGCTAAATCTACCAAAAAGGGTGGATTTATTTGGGTGTTCCTTTCCAAAGTGAGTGAACAGGCCTATTCAGAGCTGTACACAATTAGCCGAAAGTCCTGAGCTGCTGTGCCAGGCCCACCTGTCAAAAGGATGGCAGCCAAATGGGGCAGATGGGATCGGACCAAGGCCAACAGATAGCCTCTTAATTTGGCCTCAGAGTCCTTTCCCACTCTGCTCTGAGTGCCCCTGGAAAGAGGAAATCCATGGAAGGCAAGAACATGAGCCAGAAAAAACCATCCAGGAGCCTGTGCGTTAAAAACTCACCTCCAAACCACAGCGGTAATTCTTTAGGGGCAAAAAAGCTGAAAACCAAAATTAAATATTGGTTTTGCTCATGCTTCCTGGAAGGCTCTCCCTTGCCTTATCCTCTTTATGAATAAATGTCTACCTCTCTATCCTTCAAAGGTCATCTCCTCTCAGGAGCTTTCCCCAGCACTGCCTCCTCTCCCCACCTCCCCAGACAGAGCCCGCCCATGCTTCTTTGTGCATATTGAAACAACCTCTTGGCATAGTTGTGAGTACATATTATTGAATATTTTTAATTTTGACATGCTCCGAGAGGGGGGTTACGGTGGATTGCAAATGTACAATTAAAATGTAAAATAAACCACATACTTTAAAGTAGGAGAAAAATCAGGGCATGGGGGGAAAGGTTTAAAACTTAAGAAATAATAAAGAATGAGGTTTATGCATAGAATCCACATTCTGGTGTCTTCTACTCAGGCTTCGGATGGACCCCAGCTTCAACCCTAAGCTTTATAGGGGCCCACCCAACCCTTTGAGTGGTTGTCAGCAATGTCCTCAGCAGCATCCTTGGAATGGACGGAGTACAGCTCATGGGGCTGTGTTAGGAAACATACTTGACTGTCCACCTATGGCATCACATCTGAGTGCCCTTCAGGGTAAGCCATTCTGCACGGTGGCCCATTCAAGGAGATTTGGCTGCACAGTCTTTGCTTGGCCTGGCTAGATTCACAGACAGACTTTACTGAACCAGAGGAACTGCAGGTCTTGCTGGCCTCCCTGGAGATTTGGAGAAGGGCAATGCAGCAGTCATGAAGGATATCCATTCTCTTCATTACTGAGCATCGGAGCCCCTTCCTAGCTTTGTGGAATTCCCTAAGCTGACATGGCTCCTCCCTACCATTGTAGAAGCTGAAAAGGGCAGCTCCGTGTTCTGCCAGCCTCCTTTGCAACGGGGAGGTGGGCAGGTGACCCGCACAGCACCAACTTGCCCCGGAGTTACGATGACAACATAGGTCCTGGCAGGGGCTGCAGAAGGATGACCTTTTGAAGGTAGCACCGGCACCAACCTTGACTGGTGGCGCACAGTGACTGATGTCAGCACTATCAGTAGTGGAGACTGTGAACTCCGCATTTGGCTGAAGTCACTGTCCTGGCTGCAGGACCCTGAACCTGGTTCCCATGCCCTCCTGGTGATTCTGTGAACCTCTAAGTATCCTTGTAATGAGTTTATTTTCTGCTAAAATCAGCCTGAGTTAGTTCCTGTCTCTTGCAAGAAAAAGCCTGTGTGATTCATGCAGCTCTTCTCCCCTGCCTCCTGCTACTTGCACATGGAGCAAAGGAAAGTCAAATGACTATGAAAATCAGGGCTATGTAAGAACATAAGGACAGAACCCAGGTCTGCCCACAGAGATTCCCTAGATGTGTGAATGGGAGAACTGAACACGTGAGGGGAGACTGTTCCAGCGCTGGCCCACCTGGAATCTCAAACCCTAGAATTGTGCTGACCAATATGGTAGCCAGTGGCCATATTGGCGGTTAAAATGTGAATTTAGTTAAAATTAAATATAATTATAAATTGGTCTTCTCAGGTGCGCTATCTCCATATCAAGTGATCAATAGCCACCTGAACCTAGTGACTACCCTTTTGCACAGCAAAGATACAGAATAGTTTCAACATTGCAAAAAGCTCCATTGAACCATGCCAGCCTACGACCTTGAGATTCCAGGGTTGAGTGGTAGGATTACTGCCTTGTTTGGCCACATCCATCTTTCTGGTGGCTGATGAGCCTGGATGTACAAAGGCAATGGTCCAGCAGTTCTGTGTTCTCCATCCTGGTGGACCGCAAATCCATGCCAGCGGGCAGGACCAGGAAACACTGGGTATACCCTGTGAGAAATGGTGGAGGTATGGGGAACCCCCCGACTACCCTCCTGCTTCTTTGTCTTGTTTACATTCCATATGCTGCGTGTCGTTGGCTGCCTCAGAGGGAAACAAAAGTAAAAGTAACTTTGAATCTAGTATCCCCATCATTCTCATGGTTCTAGGACCTGGACTGTGCTTTGCAACCCAGGGAGGGACGGAGGCTGCCTCATGTGGAGACACGTGTTAGTGGTGGGGGCTCTGTGCTTACCCAGGACTGGTGCAGTGCTTGGCTTACTGAAGTACCCAGCAAGCGTTCATCGGGTTGACACAGATCTAATGCAGACCCCCAGGGACCTGATGTAGGACAGTCAGGTAATTTTCATGCCAAATACTTTTCACTCAGGGGATAAGAGAGATGGTATAATAATGATGACATGATGGTGTATGAAATAAATGGGAGTTTAGGGTGTAAGTTCATTATAATTGGAACTATGGAAAAAATAGGTTGCATGTGTGAAGATGTTTAGAGTTCTGGGATTTTTTTTCTTTTAAAATTCCTTAAATATGATATATATCAGGATGATTAAGAATATGGTCAGATAGATGTGATCCCTTCTGTGAAATGAGAACAGTAATAGTGGCTACTCATTGGGTTATATGAGGAATAAATGAGATAATGCATGAAAAACATTTAGGACAGCCCTTGGCACATGATAAATGCTAAGTACAAGATGGCTATTACTGTGATTTTGCTCTAGAAATCTGCAGGATAATAAAAGATCAAGGATCCTTGGCATCCTTATCATAGTATGGCTTTGGTCCCCTTTCCAGTGGGCCAGGGCTGGGAAGGGTCCAAGCCTGGGGTGGTTTCTGGATCCCGTCAGCCCCAGCCCTCTGCCCACAGGGCAGCCCTGCTAAGTCTCCATTGCCCGCTCTCTCCAGGAGGATGCTGCCAACCTCCTCACACCACTTTACACTTCTTGGTTTAAGCCATGGAGGTTTGGAGGGATTTTTTTTTTTTTTTTTAATTACAAGTCTGTCATTTTTGCAAATGATTTTTGCTTTTTGCAGCAATTCCACCCCCAAAAAGTACACTCTCCAGTTTTCTTTCCATTGGCCTGTCTCCTCCCTTCTGTTCACATCCTACGGCTATTAATGAGGGCTCAGTCAACAACCTGGGAGGACCCACAGAGCCACCTCCTCCTCCCTCCCTCTTTCTGTCTCTATGCGTATTTGTGTCTTTCTCTGTGCATCTGTTTCTGTCCCTCCTCCCTTGCCTGTCACCCTTCTCTCTCTGTGTCCCTTGAATCTTCAAAACCCCTCTGGGGGTTGTGGTTTGGAATGCAGGTACTACTAATAAAAACCATGCCCCCCTCCCCAAGCTCTAACACACCCTCAGCAGACATATGTTGGAGGAGCAGGAAGGGCGCTGACCATCAGAAAATGGATTCCTAGGGTTCTTGTGTGGCTCAGTCATTTAGCATCTGCCTTCAGCTCGGGGCATGATCCAAGGG